GTGATGCCATGATGTGCCATGCACTCCCTTTTCCAGTTGTCACCTGGCCTTGTGGCGATGAGAATGGCTGCTCCATGACTCCCACACCTATTAACTCAGAAGAGGATTGAGATACCATGGAGTTTTAGAAACAACAGATTATTTCTGTTTTGTTCTTCTGAAATGAAGGCATCAAAACATTCTTTTAGACATGAAAGGTTTTTTGACTTCAGATGAAGGCTGTCCATCAAGTTTCCTGAGCACTTATTATCTTGTGATCTTACAAGAGGGTAAAAGACAGGCAGAGGTTGGCACACCTTGCGGTTGACTGAGAAAGGCTTGCTCTTCTGATGTATCCCACTCCACTTTTGGCTCAATGAGTTGGGGTAAAATCATCATCATAGAGCCTACTCTGATCATGCCTGGAGGTGGAAAGTCTTCTTTGAGCAAAGGAATCAAGAGAAATGCCAGAGATTTCTTTATCAGCTAAAAACCTCACTCATTTGCTGTTTGTTTTGTGCAAAGACTGGAGCTGGTGTAAAAGCTGATGAGGGATAGGCAGAATGGTGGTTCATCCATTTGAAGGAGAACTTGATCACTCCAAAGTCTTCTGCCACTTAGTTGGTACCCAAAGAGGCTGAGCATGGCATGGTAAGGGTAGGTCAGAGATGAAGAGGGACCTTCTGTGCCCTTGCAAGATAATAGGTGAAAAAACACTGCAAAAATAAAATAATTGGTTCAGATGGTGATAAACACTAAGTAAACCAAAGTGTATCAGGGAGAACTAAGAGATGAATGGAGCAAATGTGGAGAGAGGACATCATGTAGGGGAATAAACTAAAACATGCCTGGACATCTTATTTCCTGAAGCATGTATTTATTGTAGATAAACTCTTTGTCTTGTGGCTTGTGGTGAGCAGGAGAAGCAAGTGGGAGTGTGTCTGTCTTCTCCATCAACTGTGCTGCTGTCCCACATCTACAGGCAGGGTGAGGACATCCTGTGAGCAGGGTGAATCAGAGGAGCAAGTCCTGCTGGCCATGCTATGGGAGAGTTTCTAGCAATAGAAGACACTGGGAGAAATGGGAAGGACTGGTGAGCGTCAGCCTTTGCAGCAGTGCTTGCTGCACAGGGAAGGCAGCCCACGGCTTCTGCACCTCCCTTTTTAGGTGTCTCCATGGGAGCTGGAGCATGAGGGGAAGGAGAGGTGAAAGCCCCTGGTCCCTGTGCTCTTGTTTTAGGTGGCTCTCACCAGTCTTTTGGTTGAATTTGAATAATTGAAAAACACCAAAGGCGTTTACTGTGCTATCTTACCCAAGTAAAGAACACCAACTAAGCCTAAAACACGTCCTGGTGTCCTTCAGCTGCATTCCTGCTGGTGGACCACCTCTCCGGGTGGTCACCCTGCTTCAATTTATCCCTCCTGGCACCTCGTTCTGCCCACGGTGACTGTGCATGGGGCTGTGTGATGTACTGGAGCAGAGCAGTGACACAAATGAACCCTGAGAAACTGATCCCCTACAAAGCTGGTGGGAACAGCCCAGGGGGGTCATGAGCCACGGGGGCTGGTTGGGATGTGAGCTGTATAAGCTGTCTCCAGGAAAAATGGCCGTGAAACCCAATTTTCTGCCCTGCTGCCAGCCACAGGCTCTGCTCCTGCTTCATCTCATGATAGGACATGTCTCAGTGCTGTAGCCAGCCTTGTTTGTGATTGAAACGAATGTGGTGAGGGGTGGCTGAGGCATAGACGGGCATCCCATCCTCTGCCCTCGCTGCAGGGTTTTGTCTCTGCCAAAGGGTGGGACAGGCAGCTGCTGCCCTAACTCTTTAAACCGCTGCAGGGATGCAAGACACAGCCCTGCGCCTGCGAAAACAAGAAAACAGAAAAGGGGATGGTGGGGGGGGGGATGGAACAAAAAACCCAAGAAAACAAAAACAAACAAAAAAGTCGCATTCTGCATTATTTTTTTTTTTTTTTTTTTTTAAGTATGTAATTCAAAGTGTGATGTATTGCTGAGATGCACATTCCCTGGCCGTGGTGAGCCGGGCAGAGGTTGAGACACATCTTCCCTGGGGAGAGGGAGGGTTGCGTGAGCCTGAGTCAGCAGCAAAGGTCACTTGGCCGAAAGGCTCGGCTTGCAGGAGACGATTTCATAACGGTAACTGATGCAATGTATCTGTGTTCAGCACTGACAGCGTGGTAGGTTTAGTGTGTGCGCACATCAGAAGGAGAAACACCAATTTGGGCAAAAATGGGTGACAGGGCAGTGATGGTCAACCCCACCTGCCCACTTCACCTCCCAAATCACTTCTCTCTCTTCCTTGCTGCTTCCTTTGCTTTCTCCCCTCATGTGTCCCCACTTTTTGTGTCTCTTCAGTTCTGTCATTTAATCTCATTATTGCGTTGTTTGTTTTACGGCCTTGGCTCATCTTCCAGTTCCCATTTGGGGTCATTATCACATATGATTAATCTTGGAGCCAAATGAAGGGGATCAGACATAACTCTAGGGTATATCTGAGCCATTTACTGTTTCTGAGCTCAAAGATCTGCAGAGGAAGTTTATTTTTAAGCTTCCTGAGAAGATAAATTTTGAACGTTGGATTGTTTAGGGTACAAGCAATAGAACTGAAGTCCCTCCAGGGGGGAGCAGTACCCTCTGGGATTTGAAGCATGCCAGGGATAATTATCCAGTGCTGAGTAAGTCTCGTTAGTCTTGAAATAGCTTTTAGTGGATGATCATGTTTTTCTTCGTGTTGGCTAGCGTGAAAGCTTGAAACCATACATTAACATTTAGCCTTCATTGTAAGAGCACTGTCAACATGTTCTTAATATTGTTTTTGTTATCCAGTTGCACTCTGGGAAAGCCAGGCATGAAGATACAAAACGATTACAGAAAATAACCCCAGAAAATAAAAAAGGGCATTTTTTTGAGGCTGCTCTTTAAGGTTCCACTCTTTCACTGTATTACGAGATAGGAAGGAGCTGCAAGGTCTTGTGTGTCGGAGCAAGGCGAGATTAGAGCATCCCCAGGACAGCTCCAGCTGCTGCTGTTCGGTGGTCCTTTGCAGGGGACCGTAGCTCCAGCTCAGGAAAGCAACAGCAGGGCAAGTGCCACACTGTGTCACCGGCCCAGGGGAAGTGATGTGTCCATGTAGTGACTCAGCTGTGTCCCTGCTAACCATCTGCTTATGTGATGCAGATCGTTAGTCACTAATTGCTGTGGTTACCCTTTTTAAAGGCTGTTGGAAAGACCAAAGGTCACATAGACATGAAGCAGCTGAGTCAGCCTTCCACCTCTTTTGCCTTCAGGTCCATCAGACTCTTGGTTGTGCTTGGAGAGCCATTTTGGTGTGCCCTGCCAGGCAGACCCAGGCTGGCTCGGTTTTATCTTTTACTCTCTGGCTGTTTGACTATAAGCCTATCACAGCTGTATGGTGGGACTGGGGTGTGTAGCTGAGGCCTTCTGGTATGCAGCCACAGCAGGGTGGCAATGAACCGTGCTCCCAAGGAAGGACCTTTGGAGGCAGCAGGAGAGGGCACTCTGCCTTTGGGCTGAGCATGAGAAGCTTGTTTCACCTGTGCTGCATTTGCTCCCTTTGTCTGCCCTGTAAAAACCCTTTAAGAATTCCGGGGCTTTACCAAGGATAGCAACTTCCTAATACCCTTTTTCATTAATTTTTTCACCCACCCATCTCATACGCTTTCTATCTTTGGCTCTATCTTCTCATCCAGTGCCTAATCTATAGGTACTGGTAGGTTAGGTACCGGTACTCAGGTATCAGCTTACCCAGTATCTCAATTAATGGCTTGTAAATCTTCACAAAAGTCTCTTATGCCATCACCCCAGATCAGTCTTGAGGACAGGTCTTTGATGCTGTGTATAATACCTGAGTCCCCCTGGACACAGCTGGGTTTGAACACTGCCCTTCTGCTCCCTTGTCTGTGGGTTTTTCTGTCTGCCCCAAATCTCCAACTGAGTCTTTTCTGCCTGTTTTTGCTTTTCTCAAAGGTTACAGACCTCTTTTCTGGTTGCAGTTCTGACTGCACCATTGGGTGCACTGGAGACGGAGGTGTGGATACTCATTCCTCATGCCTCGCTCAGCTGCAGCAAACTACATTTATCTGTTTAGTCCTCCCCATACTCTGAGTGGCCTAAGGAAGCCCTGTAGGTCTTCCCTGTCCATTCCTGTGACATTGCTAAAATGTCAGTCTCTGCATTCTGCCAAGGAAGTTGGGCTTGATGGGGGGGATGTGTGCTGGGTTCCCCCTCACGCTCTTCTGTGTTCACTTCCCATTTGAGCTTTACGCCAAGCAAGCTATCCTCACAAATCTAAAGAAAATTATCACGGTAGTACTAGTATTCCAAATAGAATCTATTATTTCTTCTTTTTAAAAAACATCTTGTAATATACTTCATCCAAGCTGTTACCCCACTCCCCACTACAATTTTAGCAAATGACCTCATTCTGTCTTTAAGGCAAACGCTGCTGCATTTATTTTAAAATTATTGTATTTTCCCCATCTGTTCTGCCCTCATGTGTGCCCCAACCCTGCTCCGTGGGTACCCAGTACCCACCTGGAGGAGCTCACGGGGTGTTTCTGGGTATTGTCTCAACAAAAACAAATTACGTGATCCCCTCAGAAAATGTGGCAAAGTCCATGTTGGAGCTGACATAGTTTAAAAGTGAAACAAACATTTGGGGAAATCTAGGAAATGGTGGCTCGGGCTTGTGGAGCATTGCTTGGAAAGCTGAAAACCAGCATCTCTAATTCCTGGGCAGCCAGGTGAGATGGTGTGAAAGCCGAAACGTGGCTGAGGTTTCACAGCAGCTGATATTGGACTACGTGGATGCCCCAGCTCAGCGGGAAGGGCTCTTCTCCCTTATCTGAGGAGCCATGCACGTGCCAGGAGACCTTTGTTCTGAATATTTGGGAGAATAAAGTTCAGCAGGAATAGAAGTGCATTTCCCCACTGCCTTGCTTCACGTTGTGTTGTGCTTGTGCTTTCTGTCTCTCCTGCAGCTGCGTAAATGAGTATGGAAGATTATGATTTCCTCTTCAAAATTGTTTTGATCGGCAACGCCGGTGTGGGGAAGACCTGCTTAGTCCGTCGCTTCACTCAGGTAAGGTTGGCTGCCTCTTGGACATGGGATGCTGGGGTGGAGACAGCACTGGGATGGGAGCATGAAGCCTGTGTCTGGGCACCCAGGGCTCTGCTGGCATCAGGGCTCCAAACCATTTTGTTTTCCACGTTCTTGGTACATGCATCACCTATAGGAACATACTGGTACAAGCAGCACATCTGTACCTAATGCTCTACTTAGCCCTGTTGGGGACCTTGAACTGGAGAAAGTTTATCCCTCGCCAAAGATGGGAGGGCCCCTCTGAAAGCTGTTGGGACAACTCCTCCTGATTTGGAGGTGCTCTGGAGTGGTTGTAAGGGGCAGCGCATCTCCAAGTGTGCTTCTATGTGCCTTCTCTTCCCCATCCCTTGCTGTACAAGGCTCTCCCTCTTATTTGTCATTTGTAGGTAATTTGAATAATCTGGGTCCTGGGCTATCAGTCCAGTGTCTTCTGTTAACGACCAGACCTTTTTTTTTGTGGCAGAATAATGGGGAAAGGACCAGGCTTCTGTGATCTGGGAAAAAAGGTTTTTCATAATGCAAAAAGTTGTGGGGGTTTTGTTGCACTCTCCACTATGAATTGCCAGTAATTTTCCCCTTCACTGTTAATTTTAGTTTTAAAGCTGTGGTGATCTTAAATACTCTCTGTCTGCATGTGACAGCTGGTGGAAATAAAGCTAGTCAACTCCAAAGGGTTAACCCCAAAAATCTGTGGCTACTTCTGCTGCTTGTGCTTTGACAGTGCAGCTGCTGTAGGGGATGGATGTGCCCCAAAATCAACATGACTTTGTAGACCTAGACACTAGAAATTGAAAAGCTTTGAATTGTTGTGGTGGTTTGTGTGTGTTTTTTTTTTTTTTTTTGTTTGTTTTTTTTTTTTTTGTTTGCTTTGTTTTTTTTTGTTTGTTTGTTTGCGGTTGCTTCTTTCCAATGGTGCTACAGTCAAATACCACCAGCATCACACTGTCCCTTGCCATTGCTGTGGCACCAGCAGTAGGTGGCTCCAAGCTTTGTTCCCGAACTACTGTGCAGGGATGTGACCCCGGTGCTGGGAGCTGCCAGAAATGCCTTTCTGTGCCGTGGTGTGTGGTGGAGGGAAGGGAAGGTGTGAGGTTGCAGGAGCAAAGGCATCTCATCCCACCCAGGCGCTCCCACCTTTTTCAAGGCGTTGGGAAATGGGACAGAGGGTCTCCATCTGCAATTTTCCTGCCTCTGCCAGCTGCACAGAAGCATTAAGATCTTTTCCCCTCTCTTTTCCCTGTATGTATCCTCCTTTTCTTCTCCTGTTTACCACCTCTCAAGTCAACAACTTGCTACACAGGGACATGTAGGCAGTGAAAACTCTGTGGGGTTGAATTATGGTACCCTTTGTACTGGGGAAATGTCACATTTTCTTCTCTAAATGTGATGGAAATAAGTGTCTGGGGAAGGGGACAAGGGAGGAATAGTTTTGAGGATGGAAAAGGGTGAGGATTGGCACCCAGAGAGAGTTTTGTCTTGCTATAGAAATTTGCTTAATGAAACTCTTGTTTTCTTGCAGGGGCTTTTCCCACCAGGTCAAGGAGCCACGATTGGGGTTGACTTTATGATTAAAACTGTGGAGATAAATGGTGAAAAAGTAAAGGTAGGAGCCTGATGGTTTTAAGTGTAAATTCATGTGGCAGTACCATAGCTGAGGTTTCTTGCTCTAGCCCTCCTGCTGCTGGGAGGCATGTGGGGAAGCGCAAGGCTGTCTGACACAGCTCAGGCAATGCTGGATCTAACAGTCTTGGCGTCCTTCTCCACAATTACCATCAGGATTGTAACAGTGAACCTACTCTAAGGGAGAAAATGGAAAGGGGGGGATCTTTCAAAACTCTGTCCTTGCTTAGGAGATGCTAAGATCATACCTTGCTGGGGTTGAGGAAGCGCAAAGAAGCATTTCAGTGCGACCTCTGCTCACAGCATTTCTGGTAAGCAGAAATCTGTTGTGTTCCCACTGGGATGTGCTTGATGAATATCTTCTCCTGTGAGCTCCCACGATGGTTGTCGGGGAGAGCAGGCTTCTGGACTTGTGCCGTTCTGCACAACGAAGGCTTATCTTCCACTTCTGCTGAGTTATGGATTTGGGAGCAGTGGAGATGGTCACAATACTGGTGCTTCAGTCAACAGGCTGAATGGAAAAGGGCAATGTCCTCCATATTATTAACTCTTTCACCCTCCAAAATTAGGGCAGTTGCAACCAAATCGCTGCTGGGAAACTGGCCTTGTCCTGTGCTAACTCCCAAACAGCCTGAGCATCACTTGGCAGAGAGATACTTTGCCTGGGCCAAAACACACAGGGGACGAATCTCATGCTTTAATGGGATTCATGGTTATGTTCCAGCACCCAGAAATGTTTGCTGGTGACGCTTTGTTCATTAGTAGAGATTTCACTAGAGCTATTGTGGTGCCCAAGAGGTGGGAGAGGAGTGTAGTTATCTGAGCCTCTAATGTCGAGGTGTCCAGGGTCCCTGATCTGCTCCTGGAATTACTCTGCCTGTATTAAATCCAGGGGCATGAAAGTGAAAAATGGCATTTTCCCCCTTGCTGCATTCAAGTCTAGTAGTGAGGAAATGGGAGAGCAGCAGCAGTGTGATAGCAGCTGGACATGACATCGAGAGCAATTTTTAAGCTTCTGTAAGTGATGGCATGGGAACAGTGGACCTGTGCAGATTTTCAGCCCTGGGTTTTTTTAACCTGTATTTCAGCACAGAGGGATTTTAAGAAGAAAATCAGGTGGTGTATTCCTGAATTTAAAACAGATTTTAGAAGCCATGATCATGTCAGCAGGCTGCCACCCTGCTGGGTGAGGAGCTATACAAACCTATGGCAAGTAATAGTCCTTGACCAGAAGACCTTTCAGCCTGAGCAAGTGAAGGATATGAGGTGTAAATACCTTCACCTGATAAAGACTGAGTTAATATTCAGCACATCGTTGTGCAAGTGGGACAGAGCAGCAGACAGGAAAGCAGTGAGGATCATGTGTAGCCCCCGTGGTGTTGGTGCTCAGCTCAGTGGTTGTGATGCTTGTTAGCAGGCGTCTGACGTAGCAGAGTTGGCCAGGATGCTGGTGCTCCTTGTCCAGGCTCCTCAGATAGCAAAGATGCTTCTTTCAGCCAAAACCAGCTCCAGTAGAGCAGCTCAGAGGATCTAAGCTGGTAAATGCTTTAAGTACTGCACTGAAGGTGGAATTCATTTTTTCCCTTATAAACCCGACTTAAACTAGCTGACTCAAGATTGTTCTGATCAATGGAGGGAGAAAACCAATCTTGAGGATGAATCCCATCTGCTTCAGACACCTCTCCTTTCCAAGCACCTGATTCCCTGTCAAGTACAGATGGAGCCTTAAGAACATTGCTTATATCCGAGGTCTGGTTTTTGGACAGGTGAATTCACCCTAAGGATTTATCTGCATTTGACTTGTTGCTCCCATGACATAATCCTGTTTTAAGACTAGCTTGGACTGAGGATGCAAACTCCTTAAGAGAATGTTGGGAACAGTCATGCCAACATGGGCTACCTCAGGGGCAAGGATGGTTCAGGGAAGCTTTACAAGCTAAATGAAAACTCGTTAGCACGGTAAGCCCCTGCTGCCCTGCAAATGTCTGGTGAATGTACATAGCAAATAATGAGTTGTTAAATCAAAGTCCCTCTTCCGACCCCACCAGTGGAGTAAATTAGTCACTGGAGGTCAGCCACAATGTCCAAGCTTGGGAGGAAGCTTAGTATGATACATTTGAGCATTTGAATGAGCCTTCCAGCAACTGAAAGGCAAACGGATTTCCTTCAGGGAGTGATCTTGTAGCTGAAACTTTTTGAGTAAACAGTGCTAGTGAGAATAAACATTTAATGAGCGGGAAAAGCAGGAATGAGTCAGAGCACAGAGCAATAAAAATGACATCTCAGGCAAACGAGGCGCTTCTCAGACTCTTAGCTCATTTAACAGTGCCCGAGCCATGACTCCATTTCTGTGCTGGGCAGCATCTCCTGCGTGTCTGCTGGGATCCAGGATGAGAGAGCAGAGCTGTTTACTGAAAAGGTTTTCAGACTTGAAAATAAATGATAGATTTCTGGGGAAAAATACTTTCCAGCTTTCAAAATTGTATTTGAAAGTCAGCGGAGAGGGACTTGCAAGCATAAAAGCTGTGTGTAAGCCATATTAGATATGAGTGGCTACTAAAGCTTGCTGACAGATGAGCTGAGAACTGTGCAGTTGAGGGGGTTTTTGATATGCCTAGCCTTTCCTAATAAAACCAAAAATATGTATACCAGGTATACTAAGAGGCAACACAAACTTTAGCCAACTAGAAAGCAGTTATGCAGGTCAAAGCTAAACATCCTTAGTGCTGCAAACAGAGGACTATGCTATATGGACCTGTGATCTTATTGCACTTGGTGAAAATGTTCATATGCATAAAGCTAAATGTATGTGCCGATGTTGGGAGAGTGGGAAGGATCATCTGTCTCCAATAAAATAAACATCTAGGTTTTCTGCAGGCTGAGTCGGCCACTGTTCTTTGGTTTGTCTGAAAAAATGGTACAAGTAAAATGGTTGCTATAAAATCTTTTATTTGTCAGAAATAATCAGTGGGCTGAAGTGTGGCATGCGTTTTGTGCAGGAAGAATTTGTCAGTGACTGTAAGGTTGAAGGCTCTTCACTGTCTTCTGTACCCAGCTCACAGGTAGACTCATGATTGTAGTCAATAAGAAAATAGCTGAGCAACAAGAAAATTATCTGTATTTTTCCATCTGCCAGAGTTTGGAGGCTGGTTTCATAGAATCACAGAATGGTTTGGGTTGGAAGGGCCCTTAAAGGTCACCTAGTTCCAACCCCCCTGCCATGGGCAGGGACACCTTCCACTAGACCAGGTTGCTCAAAGCCCCGTCCAACCTGGCCTTGAGCCCTTCCAGGGAGGGGGCAGCCACAGCTTCTCTGGGCAACCTGTGCCAGGGTCTCACCACCCTCACAATGAAGAATTTCTACCTTACATCTAAGCTAAACCCACCCTCTTTCAGTTTAAAGCCATTACCCGTTGTCCTACCATGACATGCCCTTGTAGAATGTCCCTCCCCAGCTTTCCTGTAGCTCCTTTTAAGTCCTCGAAGGCCACTATGAGGTCTCCTTGGAGATTTCTCTTCTCCAGGCTGAGCAACTGAAACTCTTTCATCCTGGCCTCACAGGGAGGTGCCCCAGCCCCTCTAATCATCTCTATGGCCTCCTCTGGACCTGCTCGAGCAGGTCTATGTCCTTCTGATGTTGGGAGCCCCAGAGCTGGACCCAGCGCTGCAGGGGGGTCTCCCCAAAGCAGAGCAGAGGGGGAGAATCCCCTCCCTCGACCTGCTGGCTACGCTTCTCTTGATGCAGCCCAGGGCATGGTTGGCTTTCTGGGCTGCAAGTGCACATCGCTGGCTCAGTCAGTTTTCCATCCACTAATACCCCCATGTCTTTCTCCACAGGGCTGCTCTCAATCCACTCCTTTCCCAGCCCGGGTTTGTGCTTTGGATTGCCTTGACCCATGTGCAGAACCTTGCACTTGGCCTTGCTGAACTTCAACAAACCTTGTTTGTTTTAACAGGGACTTATTTGTTCTCTGAATTTCATGTGCAAGTAATTTCATTTATGGTTTTGTATGTCACTTAACTGCAGGTGCCAGGTTCTATTTAAACATAACTGTGCCAAGAGATTAAGCACAAAGGTGCCCAGGAGCTGTGAGCCAGCCACAAGTTACTTTCTCTGCAAAAATGTACTTTTTCAGAAGCATTCCCCATGTCTGAAAGCTGCTACTGGGAGCTCTCATTTCAAACACATTTATGATGAGTAGCTGGCATAGTTTGATTTTGGAACTGGGCAAGAATAAGGTTTTCTCTGTTATAGGCTGCTGAATATATGGAAAAAATCTCAAATACTTTACCTTTTTCTTCCCAAAGTACACAGGATGCTGGCTGGAAATCATCCTTTCACATATTTAATTCCAGGGAGGGGTGCCTTAAAAAAGTAAAAGCTGAAGCAGAGAAGTATTCTTTTATGCTGAAATGATTTAATTTTGGGTGTTTGTTTCTCTGACTGCCTTTCTGAAGAACTGAGGTTTTGATGATCCTCCAAAAACTATCAGATGGTCATATTATAAAACCAGTATGAGTTTAGTTTGTACTGGGAAATGTATATTGTCTTCCTGGACCCAGAAGGTTTGGCAAACACTCTTTGATATAATTAAGGACATGTCAACCAGTTCTACATGTTGGGAAGGCAGGCAGCAAGCAACTGGGTGAGATGGCTGAAGCTGTAGAGAGGAAATGTGTTAGACCTTGATCAGCCTTCAGCTGAGCTCCTTGTTCAGTTCTGTGGTTTCTACCCATCACTATCATCTCAATATAACTGTAACTAGCTTTGGGAGCTAGAGAAGAGGCTTTCTTATTTCTTCTTGGAATGGATGCTGTTGTTGGTTGGACTTCAGGGGCAGAAATAACTTTCTTCCTCCAGCACCTGTGTTGTAACACTAGACCAGCAGCTCTGTCCACAGCAGAGGGACGTGTGACAAGTCGCGTGAAAACCCACAGACTTGTGGCTTCCAGGGGCCATTTGCCACAGTGCCAACTGACTTTGTGCCTTGCATTTCAATCCGCAAGTACAGGAATGGAAACAAAAAATGCTGGGGGAGGGGAAGTCAAAGGAGAGAAGAGCTAAGTGCTTTCCCAGCATTGGTTTTACCCCGAAGGGGTTTTTTTTTAGGTCAAAACAGCTAAAAAAATGTTTGGTTTTTTTTTTTTTCCTTCCTTTTACCACCCTTCCTTGTTATGCCCAAAGCTGCAGATCTGGGACACTGCAGGACAAGAGCGATTCCGATCCATCACGCAGAGTTACTATCGCAGCGCTAACGCGTTAATCTTGACCTACGACATCACCTGCGAGGAATCCTTCCGGTGTCTCCCTGAGTGGCTGCGAGAAATCGAGCAGTATGCCAGCAATAAGGTCATAACCGTGCTAGTGGGTAAGTGACGATCGTCCCTAGTGGGGTGAGCTGTGCATGTCGAGGGGTTGGTGGCAGATGGAGATGTTAGCAGGAGGAAAGCGTGTCATCTGTGTGAACTGGTGGTGCAGGATGCTCACACTGGTACAGCAGATCTTGTTGCCAACCAGTTGTAACTGCAGGTGGGCACAGGGTACAGCCGGTGCCTCCAACCCAGTGATTGGATTGTGCTTTCTGCAAATAACCCCAAGATGCTGATAGTGATGTTCAGGACACCACAGCCACTTCTTGAAGTGCAGTCCTGTCTCAGGCCTAAGGCTATTGCATGCAGGGGTGGATATTTCCCAACAGTCAGTCCCGTATGGGACTAAAGTGTTGATGGTGCAGCTACCGACTGAGTTAGGGATAGAGCAGTTTCCCTTGTGGCTCTCAGCTTGGATCAGTGCAAATATATGAGGATCTGCTCAAGCTGGTGGTGCCTGCAGGTTGCTGTACCTCATAGCTGTGGGACGACCAGAGTCTTGTCTTGAGTGGGTCAGGATCTGGGAACAACATCAGGATGTGGTGGTTGTGTGGATCATAACGTTCATAGATGGGGCAGAGCTGGAAAACTGGATATTTTTGCATGGATTTTAGGGAAACTAAAAATAAATAACTGAATGTTAGCTGGAGTTGAAGCTCTATGGATTAACCTAAAGCAGACCTCAGGCCATCTGTCTGCTACAAGCAAGGTGAAGGTTATTTTGCCTACCTGCACTTTTCCATGCTTTGCTTTCAGCATCCAATAGTCAGGATTTGTCTTTTGAAGGCTGAAGACTATATAAAGAACAATGGAAAAATAACTCAGGGAAAGACATGAAGTTTCATGCTGCAGTGTTGATATCACCTTTAATAGTTTGCTGTTCAAAAGGAAAAATCTAGAGGATTGTAAAGTGTTTTTTAACTGGCTTTAAAAATCTTTTGAGCTTTACGTGCCCCAGGGGTATTGCAAGTGAGCCTTGAGATTTATGGAGCTTCCATACAAGAAACTCATACTCCATGCAAAGGGTATGACACATGTACAAATATCACAGAAATAATTAATATGGCTAACAAATGTATACATTATTTTTTTAGGGAACACTAAGTTAATTATCAACAGCACAAAATATGAATGATAACATCCATAACATACACTTTGAAGATGGTGACACCCATAAACTGCTTGTGTTGAGTGATAATTTGTTCAGAAAGGTAACTTCAGTGTATACAGGAGGTCCAAATAAATGCTTTATCAGGAAAGAAAGGGGATCTCAGATGAGAGGAGGGCAATGAGACATGGCTTCCCACAGTCTTTTCCTTCCACTAGTTCTCACAAAGTTGCTGGTAGAAGCAAGGCCAGATGTTTCCTCTTGAACCTGCCAGGTACACAGGCCCCTGTTATTGTAGGTCCTGGTCTGTTATCTTCTTTGTAAGATTAATTTATGGCAAAAACATCATATTTGAAGTGAAATGGCCGGTAATAGGGTATAATCACATCAGATGCTTGCTTGGGGCTTTAATCAACTCTGTTAAACTGAGCTCTCTGAAAGGGAAGGGACTGGTTTCTCACCCCACCTCGCCCTGTGGGTGCCCCCATGCCTGTCCCTCTTCCAGCCTCAACAGCCAATCCTTCACGTCAATATTGGAATAGAAAAGCTGCCTTCCATGCCAGGCTATTTTTAAAGCTTGTAATGACATGAGAAATGCCACATTTAGTCTCTCATATGCTATAATTGACATTTTAAGTGCTCCTCAGAGGAAGACCAGGAGAATTTTCAATGGATATTAAAATGAAAATACTTTGATGCTGGTTGATAGCAGCAAACAGATGCACTGGTGCTAAATTAAAGCTAACTGACTTGGATGTTCGCAGGGCATATTCCATTAAATGAGCTGATATTAAATGAACTTGGTTGCATGTATCAGGGAATATTCCATTAAAAGGGCTGATATTAAATGAGCTTGGTTGCATGTATCAGGGAAGCCATTATTTGGAGGGGAGAGTAAGCACTAAGAGTTTCACATCAAAACCACTGTCCGTGCATATATACAACATCAAGCTTTTCTCTATCCCTTATCAACCTCTGTTTCTCTTGTTTTGGAAGTCAAATTAATTCATTTTCTAAAATATTTTATCAATGCAGGTAATAAGATTGATTTAGCTGATAAGAGGGAAGTCTCCCAGCAAAGAGCTGCAGAGTTTTCTGAAGCACAGGACATGTACTATCTGGAAACCTCAGCAAAAGAATCGGATAATGTGGAAAAACTCTTCCTGGACTTGGCCTGCCGGTTGATCAGCGAGGCACGACAGAACACCCTTGTGAACAATGTCTCATCCCCCTTACCAGGAGAGGGGAAAAGTATCAGCTACTTGACTTGCTGTAATTTTAATTAAAGAGCTGGCAGGTGATTTCCCCTTCTACCATGGGCCAAGAGGATTTTTTTTTTTTGTTGCTGGGATTTATCTGCTTGAGGAGAATTCCTGCCACTTTGACCCATCTGACTTACTGTGAGTCAGGTTGCAGACCTGGAAGCATGGCAGGCTGATGGTTATGGTTCCAGATGCATGGCAACATAGCAGAATATAACATGGTTTAAATGTCATTTTTCTTGCAGTCTCTGGAGTGGGGTAGGAAAAGAAGAGTTGCACAAGTGCTTCATGTAATGCAGAACTTGAGCTATTGCATTTCCTTCTATGAGAGACTAGAGCAGCCTCACTTGAAGACACTGAAGAGATCAAAATCTCTCTTATAGAGCAATGTGTTTGGTCCTTTTTAAAATAAATAACAAGAAAAAAACAATGAACACTGACCCTGGACTACACTGGCAATCTTCTGGGGTGCCAGCAAGTGAGCTCTTAGGACATGTACATATCATCTTCCTGTGCATCTTCATGGACGACTCTGATGTTTGAAATGGTGTTATGTCTCTCATCCACTGGCACTTTCTCATAAACATGACATTAAAAAAAAGAAAGCTACATATATCAGCATTTTCAAGATGTAAGAAGACATGGATACAGCTCCGTTGCTCCCTTTGGTGCTAGCAGTTCAGCAAATACTCCATAGACCAAATGTAGTCTTACTACATTACTGTCCTCTGAATGTGTAACTTAGACTGGTTAGGAAAAAAACACTAATAAGCACTGTTCATAAAAATAAAAAAATCTTGTTACCTCTTTTTCTAAGCCTGAACGTAGTGGGAAAGTACTGTGCTTCTTTGATATCCAACACAGGATGAAAAGACTTTCCAGAAATAAATAAATAACTAAAAATAATAATTAACTGTTCATCCTCTAATTAGTAATGTCCTAACGTGAAAAATTAGCCCTGGGAAGGGTTATCTGTGGAGCTGGAAAAGCGCACCAGACATGACCAAAACTTCGTGTGCGCATGGATTGTGTATAAGGGTTCAAAGAGAACACAGTTTGAAGTGGCAGTCTGCAGTATGTCTGGCTTACAAATAAAGCTTGTAGATACAATTCTTGTTGAAAGGCAGGCATCCAATTTTGTAGAGGTTTTTTTTTTTTTAATGCTAAGTGGAAATAGCGATGGGTTACAAGTGGTATCATTCTGTGTGTGACCCATCCAGCACTCACCTTGTGGAACTGCTCTCCAAGATGATCTTGAAGGTATCTTCTTGGCATCCAGTCTCTCCGCTAGAGTGGCTTTGAGGTTCAGGGCTGTAGAGTCACTTAATTTACTTGATGCTTTGTACTCTTTATCCCAGACTCCAGTGTATGTGTAACTGTTTAGGCAATTTTGTTCTACAAAACCCTTGAAGCGGAAGTGCTATGGAGTTTGTGATGTTATTATACCTCTAGTGCCATATGCAAATAATGCATTGCAAATTTACATGTTGTCATTAAAGTGAAATTGGAAGATAGTGAATGCGCACATGAAAAATTATATTTAGAAGTCTGAGTTCAGTTTAGCTAATCTGGATAAATATCTCCTGCCAATTACGTGGCTGTGATATGCTGTAATTTAGAGTTAATAAATTTAATATTATTTGGCTTTTACTGAAGATTATAACAGAGCTTTTGTATTGACAGAAAAAGCTGCCAGTAAGTACTTGCTGAAGAGAATAACAACAAAAAAAAAAGGCATTTTAAAATGCGTTTTCACATTTTTCTGGAAAGACTTCTTTGGTCTGTATCATGTTGTGCCTTTGATCTGTGTCAGAGAGAAGGGGGATCGGTATGTCATGGCCATTTTTAGTATTTTGTTATTATTTTTTAGGTCACTTTCTTCATTTATGACTAGTGGTAAAAAGGAAGACGTAGAAGTGGTATGAGGCGTGTTTGTCATTTAAGTAACACTTAGCAAAGAGCTTCTGTAAGTGTGAGGTGTTGGGGGACATGTCATCTGCTGCATTGGTCTCATCCTTTTCAGTGTCTTCTCATGGTGTAATCCAGAGGATTTAGAAATGTGTGGGACTTGGTGGCTTCTGCTGTGCCGGACTGTGTGGTACAGCCTGTGCTGAACAGCAACGTCTGTCTTGAGTGTTCCCCAAATTGCCAAATGCAGTTTCAGGTGAGCTTGTGAAGACCACCCAGCTCTGAGCCAGCTGATTCTGCACAGCCTTTAGGTAGTTGTTTAGAGCAAGGCTCAGGGTGTTACATGTAAGGTAACACTCAAGTTGAAAATCAATACTATGAATATTTAATTTGTAAAGGCTCTTACTCTTCAGATGCTGGATTTGTCAGCATATAATTGATAACAAATAGGGCAAGGCTGTTTGACTGAGTTAAGGAGGAAGGAGACTGCCCACTAAAACACCTGTGGGTTCCTCAGTCTGATTTCCAAAAGCATCAAAGCTGGGCATGTACTTCTCATTCCTGCTGAGTACCACTATAAATGCATTTTAAAGTGCTCCTTACATCACTTCTGGAGGTTGAACTTTAACACATTATCCTGACTGAACAAGCTAAACTGGTCAATATCAGAAACTGTTAACTTTATTTTCTTGGATATTCACTCTGAGGTTTCTAGAAGGTTAAGTCTCTTTTTTCCAGTGCTTTCTTAACCTGTAGGTGACTATTTTGGAGACTAGCTGCCTACTAGCAACCTCAATGCATTGGGTCCTTTTATTGCTGGCAAATTTTCCCTGTGTATAAGATAGAGATATATACTCTATCTCCAGACAGTGATGTGCTTTTGTGGCGGGGTGGAGTGCTGCAGTTAGGCTGATTTTACAGTGAAGTATCTGACTTCTCCAGGGACAAATATGAACTGATTCCTTTCAAGGTTTATTCTGCGTAGACTTAAAAAGTTGAAGGGAAACAGTGGTGGTATGTGTAACATTTTACAAGGTCATAAGCCAAAGCTGTAGTTTGAAACTCACCTAATTTCTGCAGTTAACAAACACACTACCTGTTGAAGAAGTGATGTTTTATTGTAGTAACTCCTTTGCAGGAGTTATTTTTGTACACCTTTGAATATCTCTCTATTGCATACAACCCACCTCTCCTTGTACCGTTGAGGGCTTATCTTCTGTTCTATGCTCTGGTCCACTGCTGAAGGCTTCCCAACTAGAAGAGGAGCTTTATCAACTGCTAATGACAACTTAGTGCTGTGGCATAGTGATCAAAGTCTTGAAAAATAAAAGAGGATTAAAAAATACAAATCCCAATTATTTGACAATCAGCTCTCCAGCTCTGGCCATCACTTTGCTAGATGAGTGGATTTTTGAGAGAACTGTTACTGAAAGCCTTGTCATGCTTGCTGGGTTGAGTGTCCACAAGCCATGCAGAATTGATATAATGGGGCCAAATTTGACTGGAAATATTCTATGCTATTAAGAGAGCGAAGCGTTGCTTTTCATCTGGTTACTAGGTTTTGATGTGTTTTCAAGGTGATATATTCACAGCCATGGAGTAAGCTTCTTATTTCTGGGTTAATATTAATTTTTATAGTAGTCCCATAATGAGACCTTTTCTTGTAATTTTTTAGCACAATGAGTAGCTCCAAGCAGGAGCCAGTATTGGATGGTCAACACACGTTTGCTTTATCTAGCAAACCTATTTGCACAGATTAGTAACAGCATCTCCTGAAAACTTGGATGGTCTAAACTCTGTTTTCCAGTTCAGCCACTGATTCAGTCAGGCTGATCTTGGGTAAACCACCAAATGTTCTGTGCTTCAGACCACTGCATGTAAAGTACTCTCTGGTATTTTGCGTTGGGTATTTATACTGCAAGTTTGTTGGGACAAGCCATGGCTCCCTTCTGTTTCTGTCTGTGTTCCCCATGAGAAACCAAATGCTAGAGGGAAAAAAACAGAAAAACAACCAACCTTCAGGTCAAAGAATTGTTATGGAAAAAGTAAAATTATGAACTCAGTAAAGAAGGGGACACTGTGTGCCTCTTCCTACCTTTAACACTGAAGTCCTGATTTGATCTACAGGTAAGTTGTTTGAGCATGCAGTCAGATACGTGTTTGTGCTGAATACTAAATGGCTTTGTGATCATTATTTAATGAAAACCACACAGGACAAATTGTCAGGCAAGATACTTTGTTCTTTGCTGTAGAACACAAGAAACAGCCCTTAAAATCTGTTAGCCTTATGGTACTGTTTGTCTTTTTGGAAATAGCTGTATTGGTAACAGTTGGCTCCTGCTAGTCTAGGTTTAGTGATTGATGGCTATTGAATTCCTTCAGCAGCAGTAATAACAGCAGCAGACTGAGGTTGACACAGGAGACAGTGATTTGAAAAGAGGGAAAGTTGAAATTAGTGATGCAGAAGCATGGTGGGTGCACACACATGGGACAACAAGCTTCCCGAGCTTTTGCTGACAAGGGATGCAATTAGTTATAGTCAGACCCACTGGGTTCTGCCTTTTTGTTATCCCTAAGGACTGCTGTTTGTTCAGCTGCTTTTCCACTTGTCTTCCCTTTTCATTATGAAGAACTGTCTATAAGTCAGGCTCAGATGTTGAGGGGGCATGACTTCTGTAGTCAGAGACTGAATTTAGTTGCAAAATAGGTGAAATTCTCCAGCTATTAAAATAGTCTGAGAAAACACGGAAGATACACTGCCCTTTGGGGCCCAGTAGTGCCATCGTGGTTGGATATGGCTGGAGACACTCTCACAGAAGCCTCCTGGCTGTGGGGCAGACTGAGTACTATAGCTGTTTTCAAGGGGAAAGATGAAAGTGTGGAGTAGCAAATGCAAAGGAAGAAGATGGTTCTATTCGCTCAGGATTTTCTCAATCCCATCCTCTTTAAAAAAAAAAAAATGCATCTATAACAGGTTTTGATTGCTCTGGACTTTAAGAATGGATGCTTTGAATTTGAGTCTCATCTGAAATTCTGCGTTCTTTTGCTTTCAATATCAAAGCACCCAATATGCTTATATGAGTTGCTCCTACCAACAAAGACCTTCTTGAGTTAGTGCAGTTAGAGAAAGGTGTTTCTAGAGGACACTCTGTGAATTCCTAGTGAGCAAGTATGGAAACTCTGAAATGTTGATGTACATAAGGGCTCACCAGAAAACCCACTGGAGCCAAAGGAAATACTCTAATCCTAGTAGCGAAAACCTTGTGAAAGATGTTATATCAAAATGTTTTCTTCCTCCATTTATAAACTTTATTTGCTTATCTGAACAATTTTGGCTCTTGACACCACAGTTTTTCCTTTCATCAAGTCTGTCCTCTTGTTGCTGTGGATAATAATTGTTCTAGTTACTGTTCACAAGCAGCAAAGGATCATAATTTTGAAGGACAGTCTTGTCTTACGATGATGAACGGTAGGGAAACACTAGCTTGGTTCCTACAGTTCTGGGGTTCTAGGGAAACACTAGTTCTGATTCCTACAGATCTCATATCTGCCTCAGTTTAAGATTTATCTTGGCTAGGAAAATAGACAACAGGGTAATCGTGCTGACTGTGATGCAAGGCTCCCAAAGTAGCCCGCTGCATTGCTCTGACTTACCTCGCTAATCACCACCTTGCTAAACTGACCCAAAGTCTCCTTTGCTGTACTGTACTATATCCAGCCGAGAGAGATTGCTGGCTGTCATCACCCATGGATGCCAGTGCACCCTTTCCCCTCATGTGAATGAGCTGTAACTTAAACCAGAAGTAAAAACTATGCCATGTGAGTTGAGGGTGTTTGTTTTTTTTTCCAAGTGGGAGCCACAGATCCAGGAAAAAACCCTCATCTCTAATGTATTGCCCCTCCAAATACAGTCAGCTGGGTAACTGGAGAAAGATAACCCAGATATAGCAGAAACTGAAATAGAAATGAGTGTAATTTAAGCTGTTAATGTTGTCAGTGAA